TTCAGAATTTTCAGAATTGTCAAAATCCTGATTTATATTATGTGATTCAACCAATATCTTTCGTTTATTAACATTTTTTTGAATTAACTCTTGACCAGTTACACATTTCAGAGTATATTTTATTATAAATCTTTTCATAAAATCATCAAACTCTTGAATTGCAGAAGGTCCCGCATCTAGCCCTATTTAAATCGCTTTTTTAGAAAGCCTATTAGCTTTTACATATTCCTTTCGCTGATCCAAAGACCTATAAACATCTTCATAAGGAATATCAGGGATTTTGTAAGGTATCTTTAAAAATGGTTGATCAGTTGCTATAGATTCTTGAAAACTATCGGTAAAGAGTTGTTGAAGAATTGAGGTAGGTTCATATTGTTTTTCGTCTTTGTACCACCGTTTTGAGATAAGAACCATATGAAACTTAGCATATGCTGAATTTCCTAATATATGAAAAAAATGCTGACAGACAATACCATGTCAGACCAAACAAAGACAAGTACAAAGGTGTGAATAATCGTTAAAAAGAACTACATAATTCTTTTTGTTATGTCGATGACGAACAATTTCCCAAACTTCAACTACATTATTATAACGATCAATCAGAATTAATTCCTTTAGGAGTATTAATAGAACATCGACCATATCTTCTGCAAAACCAGTACTGAGAGATTCATCTTCATACCCAATTTCAAAAGCGTGATTTTCATTTACTAACTTAGGAGTATATCTATTGTATTAATTTTAAATTTATAAGTATATACTAGGATTTAACAATGACTAGTGAATTCTCAAATAAAGACAGAATCTATTTCAATTTATAGTTTTCTTATATGGCTCGAATTAAATCTAACTCAAGATCTGAATTAAATTTAATTCAGGCTGTACTATTTGAATTAATAAGTTTTGAAACAGAAAAAACACACCAAATTGCTTGAGCAATTTCTTGGCACTGCATGGAGAGGGCGGCAGGTATTAGGTAATCAGAAATCCATTTATCGATTGTAGCCAAAAAATCATAGCTTGCATGTGTAAGTGTTGACCCAGTTACAGAGTGCGTCCAATTTCGATATTGAATAGTAGAGGATACACGAATAAAGTGTGCATCAAGTTTTTTAAAAAGTTCCAAGATTGAAGTGTGACTATTAGTTGTGCTTTTGATTATCACATTTTGTCCCTCAACTTTTTGTATAGATTGTACCCTAGCCGTGAAAATACAGGAGGTATAAGCAAGTGGCCTTTTTTTTTTTTGAGATCCAAGCAATCTATTAAGATAAGAAACTGAGTCGGGATACTTTTCAAGAAGAGAATTCCAAAGAAATTCAAACTCAACTTGAGATGAGGTGTTTCTCATTTTATACCAAGCCTTGGAAAACTCATCATACCGTGATCCCAATTTAGGTTTTAGGTTTTTTATAATGTTTTGTCCAATATGATAGATACAATGAATGTGGTATGTATTTGGCATTACATTTACAATTGCAGTATCCATAGCAAAGTCGCTATCTGTTATAATAACTAAGGGAAAAATATTTGTAGCTTGAATCAAAGAACTAAATACCTATTCAAAACTTTCTGACGTTTCATCTCCCATCAATGTTTGTCCAACCAACCGGGATCTATTATTATTATCTATGACTATAAATAGTCCAAGCGCCATTTTAAACTGATTGGTCAAATAGGTATTATCATATTGCACTACATCTCTGTATTAGATATAAAGATTGTATTGATCTGGTGTTATCCAGAATAAGTTTATTAAAGAATTTGTTGCAGGGTCTATACTCCAATTTACAATCTATCTTACATCCTCAGCCTTGCGTTCAAGAAGGTGAGTAATCAAAGTAGCAGCTTCATCTTCAATTTGTTGTCCTCTTTTTATTCTCTGGATTGTATTTGATAAATCTTGAGGTAAAAAAAACACATTTTCATACTTTGCTATAAGTAGCTGACATTGTGTACGCATGCTAAGATTTCCTTTGGTAGTCCAGAATTCTATGTCTGCTAACATAGGTTCAGTAAATGTTCTAAATGTAGTATCAAATTTATTGACAAGTGGGTCTAGGGAATGATCACCATGTTCTAAAGAGATAGAGATAATTCTAATAACGCCAGTTGTTTTAGAACATGTGGCATTCACAAACCATGGACACCCACTACGTTTGGACCACGTATTATGTTGTTCTTTAACAATCAATTTTTTTTTCCCTTTATATTGTCCCTGAAACTCGCATTGATATCTACAACGTCTTCGTATTCTATTATCGTATTCAGCTCCATATATGATTTTTGAAAAATATTGCGAATTACAATAAGCATCAAGATATTTATCTATTTGTTCCCATGATTCAAATTGCATGCCAACTGTTGGGGTTTGAACTAAAGAAGAGGATTGTTTAATTTGTTTAGGAGTGCTAATTTGCTCTGATATTGGTTCATAGGGTGGTTCATAAGGTGGTTCAACAGATGATTCAACCGAAGGTGATTCAAATGATGGTGGTTCAAATGATGGTAGAATCGGTAAGAAAAGCAATTGAGATGTGTTGTCTGACTGATCATACGTCATTACATGTGATATTAGTTCATTGTCCGTAGCCAGAATCAAACCTTCACTTCGTTCTAGTCTATGTAAGTAAAGTAGTTAACTTCATATGCTATTAACTAGCTCAAACAAACCAACTAACAAACAAACTAATAAACTTGTATACCTGATGTTTCATTATGCATTACTGAATATGAATCTGAGAAAATGAACATTGAATTTCTATTTTGTGTTGTTAAGCAGATTGTAAGTAAAAGATCCTTTGTTATTATAATAAACAGCAGCTTATTTAAAAAAAAAACCCCCAATGATTGTTGGTTTGTTTGAGCTAGTTAATAGCATATGAAGTTAACTACTTTACTTACATAGACTAGAACGAAGTGAAGGTTTGATTCTGGCTACGGACAATGAACTAATATCACATGTAATGACGTATGATCAGTCAGACAACACATCTCAATTGCTTTTCTTACCGATTCTACCATCATTTGAACCACCATCATTTGAATCACCTTCGGTTGAATCATCTGTTGAACCACCTTATGAACCACCCTATGAACCAATATCAGAGCAAATTAGCACTCCTAAACAAATTAAACAATCCTCTTCTTTAGTTCAAACCCCAACAGTTGGCATGCAATTTGAATCATGGGAACAAATAGATAAATATCTTGATGCTTATTGTAATTCGCAATATTTTTCAAAAATCATATATGGAGCTGAATACGATAATAGAATACGAAGACGTTGTAGATATCAATGCGAGTTTCAGGGACAATATAAAGGGAAAAAAAAATTGATTGTTAAAGAACAACATAATACGTGGTCCAAACGTAGTGGGTGTCCATGGTTTGTGAATGCCACATGTTCTAAAACAACTGGCGTTATTAGAATTATCTCTATCTCTTTAGAACATGGTGATCATTCCCTAGACCCACTTGTCAATAAATTTGATACTACATTTAGAACATTTACTGAACCTATGTTAGCAGACATAGAATTCTGGACTACCAAAGGAAATCTTAGCATGCGTACACAATGTCAGCTACTTATAGCAAAGTATGAAAATGTGTTTTTTTTACCTCAAGATTTATCAAATACAATCCAGAGAATAAAAAGAGGACAACAAATTGAAGATGAAGCTGCTACTTTGATTACTCACCTTCTTGAACGCAAGGCTGAGGATGTAAGATAGATTGTAAATTGGAGTATAGACCCTGCAACAAATTCTTTAATAAACTTATTCTGGATAACACCAGATCAATACAATCTTTATATCTAATACAGAGATGTAGTGCAATATGATAATACCTATTTGACCAATCAGTTTAAAATGGCGCTTGGACTATTTATAGTCATAGATAATAATAATAGATCCCGGTTGGTTGGACAAACATTGATGGGAGATGAAACGTCAGAAAGTTTTGAATAGGTATTTAGTTCTTTGATTCAAGCTACAAATATTTTTCCCTTAGTTATTATAACAGATAGCGACTTTGCTATGGATACTGCAATTGTAAATGTAATGCCAAATACATACCACATTCATTGTATCTATCATATTGGACAAAACATTATAAAAAACCTAAAACCTAAATTGGGATCACGGTATGATGAGTTTTCCAAGGCTTGGTATAAAATGAGAAACACCTCATCTCAAGTTGAGTTTGAATTTCTTTGGAATTCTCTTCTTGAAAAGTATCCCGACTCAGTTTCTTATCTTAATAGATTGCTTGGATCTCAAAAAAAAAAAAGGCCACTTGCTTATACCTCCTGTATTTTCACGGCTAGGGTACAATCTATACAAAAAGTTGAGGGACAAAATGTGATAATCAAAAGCACAACTAATAGTCACACTTCAATCTTGGAACTTTTTAAAAAACTTGATGCACACTTTATTCGTGTATCCTCTACTATTCAATATCGAAATTGGACGCACTCTGTAACTGGGTCAACACTTACACATGCAAGCTATGATTTTTTGGCTACAATCGATAAATGGATTTCTGATTACCTAATACCTGCCGCCCTCTCCATGCAGTGCCAAGAAATTGCTCAAGCAATTTGGTGTGTTTTTTCTGTTTCAAAACTTATTAATTCAAATAGTACAGCCTGAATTAAATTTAATTCAGATCTTGAGTTAGATTTAATTCGAGCCATATAAGAAAACTATAAATTGAAATAGATTCTGTCTTTATTTGAGAATTCACTAGTCATTGTTAAATCCTAGTATATACTTATAAATTTAAAATTAATACAATAGATATACTCCTAAGTTAGTAAATGAAAATCACGCTTTTGAAATTGGGTATGAAGATGAATCTCTCAGTACTGGTTTTGCAGAAGATATGGTCGATGTTCTATTAATACTCCTAAAGGAATTAATTCTGATTGATCGTTATAATAATGTAGTTGAAGTTTGGGAAATTGTTCGTCATCGACATAACAAAAAGAATTATGTAGTTCTTTTTAACGATTATTCACACCTTTGTACTTGTCTTTGTTTGGTCTGACATGGTATTGTCTGTCAGCATTTTTTTCATATATTAGGAAATTCAGCATATGCTAAGTTTCATATGGTTCTTATCTCAAAACGGTGGTACAAAGACGAAAAACAATATGAACCTACCTCAATTCTTCAACAACTCTTTACCGATAGTTTTCAAGAATCTATAGCAACTGATCAACCATTTTTAAAGATACCTTACAAAATCCCTGATATTCCTTATGAAGATGTTTATAGGTCTTTGGATCAGCGAAAGGAATATGTAAAAGCTAATAGGCTTTCTAAAAAAGCGATTTAAATAGGGCTAGATGCGGGACCTTCTGCAATTCAAGAGTTTGATGATTTTATGAAAAGATTTATAATAAAATATACTCTGAAATGTGTAACTGGTCAAGAGTTAATTCAAAAAAATGTTAATAAACGAAAGATATTGGTTGAATCACATAATATAAATCAGGATTTTGACAATTCTGAAAATTCTGAA